TAATTTAAAGGGTGTTTAAATATTCATTGCTTGAAACAATTCGATGTTATTTTTGCCATTCTTCAATTGTGGAATTACAAAAATTATAACGGTTATCGTGCAACGCACAATCCCCACTAGTATAGATAAAAGCCGTGAATTGATGTCTTATGATTGGAAACTTGCGGAAATACTGCTGTCAACCATGAAGTTTCAATTAAAAAATAAAAATGTTATATTATTGAGTTGAAAAATGGTTTACATAAATTAAAAACGTACAAAATATATTTTTGAATTTATTTTATTTAAATCATCTCAATCTCTTCTTGTATACAGACTTAGAGTCAAAAGGATCTTTGTGAGTCTACATAACTGAACATAATGATTCTTACTGTGAACCCAAGGTATGTGTCGATACATACAGATAAGGGACATAATGACTCTTACGGTGAACCGCAAGGTATGTGTCGATACATGCAGATAAGGGTTCTTCGATTCATTCTTTTATCAATAAAGCTCCAACTGGGGGAAATTTTTTATAGAATTGATACTGACATCGATGTGACTGTTCTATTTCTTTTTCATCTTACAATGGTGTCGCGCTAGTGCCGTCTGACAAAATTTTTCGTCTAAAAACCTATGCTTATAGCATGATTGTTCATTCATTGTACCAATAATTATTTAAAAGAAATGTGTTCTTATAGCCTAGAAAAATAATTAGGCTTGTTTGAGTCCCATTTTTGTAAAAAACAAAATGCATTTTTTGAATAGTGTATTGATGGAAAATTTGTGGTTAAAAAATAATTTTTTTTTAATTTACGTATAATATTATTTTATTAAATATATGCTTGAAATAAAGTCAAAATATTGTTCAAAAATGCATTTCTTTCAAAAAATATGGAGCACAAGCGAGGGCATGTCATGAAAATTTGGTGGTCTTCTTTTCCTTTTCACCCTATCTTTTTATTTGCCTTTTGACACTTTCCAATCCAAAATGCAAAGTGAAAAATCAATCTCCATCATTGCAGTTTAGATAGCATGTTTGATACCCATTTTTTTTCAAATTATGTTTTCCTCTCTTCTTTTCAACCACATATTATTCGATAAAATAATATTAGACACAACATAAAAATCTTTCTTTCATTTTTAACCACACATNACTAAATTAACATAGATTTCTATATGGCCAGCTCTACAAGATCAAGACTACAAGTTGAGTGGAGTACATCATCAACGAGTTGAGCTTTCTCAGAACATCTTTTTAATCAGCCGCCGAAGATTTTAAGCCACCTGAATATAAAATGCAAAAAGGCACTAGATCAATCTTCATTTAGAATCCACTGAAGCTTCGAAGTTAAACACAAGGTCAGCTCACATAGATAGCAAAAATACAATTTATGCTCAGTGTGAGCTCAATCATACACACAACAAAAAATTATAAGATTTTCTTTTCGTATATACTTAGAATACTCAAAGTTAAGTATTCTGGTCCCTAGTATGCATTGTAACCAATTAATTGTAAACCAATAAGACCTTTGTAGCAATGATTACATGTTCGCGATAAATTTCTCGACTTCAAATCCAACGGCCAAAGTACTCCTCACTTCTTCCTTGAGTTTCTGCACGCTGCGGCACTGGATAGCTGACAATCGGAAAACAAAAGGTGAAGCCAAAATAAAAAAATGTCACATTAAAATGTACAGATTAAGCAATAAAATATGCCATACATTTCGCCAGAATCATAGAGATTGATTCCAGAATTTAAGGCCTTGTCAAGGATTCTGGCAATGTATTTTGTTGCTCGCCGAAAGTCATGGTCCCTGTGTCGATTATCATAAAAATGTAATGAAATTTGAAATTCCGAATAGAAATGGTAGATACGAATTGACAAATAAAAAAAAACAAAACAAAACCTTAGCAGAGTCTTGAGATGTCGTATCGGGGGCGAGGGCAGTGTTGAATCACCTGTACAGAGGATAAAGAGAAAATTCAACAATATTATGGAGATGCGGGGGATCGAACCCCGTGCCTCTCGCATGCAAAGCGAGCGCTCTACCATTTGAGCTACATCCCCACGGCTGGTTCATAATTACTAACATATCTATATGTTTCTGCTTGTCTTCCTTTAAAATGCATATTTACTTATTTCAACCACAGATTCACACTATGTAGTTAGGTTTGAGCTTCCAACTTATTTACAAACACCTGAACTTACCAATCTAAGCCCCTGTTTGGGCCGCATTATTTTTTCATTTTTAACCACACATTCTTTAGTAAAATAATATTTTTTATCACATCAATAATTTTTCCTTCTTTTTCAACCACATATTCTCCATCACATTACTTCAAAAAAATGCATTCTCTCATTTGAATGTGTACCAAACAGGCTCTTATTATACACTATTGAAATTAATATTTGTATTTTTTTTCAATTAAGGTAATGTCATTGTCGACATATTATAATCACACCACAATCAAAATATATTTTCAATTAGAATGTAATCCCATTAGAATTTACAAAAAGGGAACCCCAAAATTTCTTCAATAGATAGTTCAAATGGTACAAAAAGGAAATTGGGGAAGAACCAATTGATTTTGGTTTTATGTTCTGAATTATGAATTCTGAAACATTTTGTATGCAAGTTCTATAGCTATAGCTTTTACAAGCATCCAATGCCTCTAGCTTCAGATCATTTCATCATTCTAAGCCCTTTGCAAGAATCCGGCCCCATCTTGTTTGGCCCCCATTATAGTGCGGTTTTTGAAATAATACTTTTTGGGAGAATTTTTGGTTAAAAAAGAAGAAAAAGTTCAAAATCTATGTGTAATATTATTTTATTGGAGAACGAGTGATTGAAAAGAAAAGAGAAAATTGTATTAAATTTTAATGGTGACCAAACAGAGCTATATAACATTTTTCTTGTAAGTTTTCATTGGTGGCCGGCCACCTTACAACTTGTGCCCTAAAATTATAAATCACCATCATCGTAAAAGAGAGATTCATTTAAAGAATTAACACCGCTGCAGAGGAAATAGTAGACAAATTTGTTAATTTAATGATTGTGGTGTCTATGAAAAGTGTTTAATGTTAAAAAGGTAAATTTTAAAGTGTGGTTAATTAAGTAATTTTACTTATGATCATTTAAGCACCTGTTTGGTACACATTAAAATTCTCATTCTCATTTTTAACCACATATTTTTCAATAAAATAATATTTTTCATCACATCAATAATTTTTCCTTCTTTTTCAACCACACATTCTCCATCAATTTATTATTCCAGAATACATTCTTCCAAAATAATGTGACTCAAACACACAATTAATTCTTATGCAATGAGAAAGCAAAAAATTCGATTAACTAACATGATTTTATCGTATATATCTTGATATACAATTTGATCCCCAATTCATTTAGATCAATAATCAGATAAAATAGAGACGTATTTTAAATGAAGGTACGCAATTTTCTTGGCTCAAAAATATATAATAAAATCTCTTTTCAAAAATCTTTATGGAACCCGAACTCAAGTCCGTGCTCATGTTGAACGGTGCTGGCCGATCACGATGCAACCACGGTTTCCAAACTCAAACCCAAGCCTTCGGATTAATAAATCTAATCATGTTCATTTTCCCAATCAAATTGGGAAATGAAGCTTTCTTTTATTTTTTTAATTATTTTCTTCTATTTTATATCTCCCATCTATTGTTGTATACGCCCTCTTTTGTTTACCATTGTTTGTTAACACTAATATTCCCGCGTTATTATTAGCATTGGATTCTTCTAATATCATTGCAAGACTTCGTTGAGAATCATTTGTGAAAAAAAAAAAAAGGATCATTTTTTTAGAAAATATTTTTCCGTAGTTGGTATCCAATATGAGTACTTTAGAGTTTAGAGCGCGTTTGTTGTGATCGTATCATATTTACATTTTAATTTTTTTTATTTTGAAAATTATTAATTTTCTTACTTTTAAATTAAAAAGTTACGTATTGAAGTTACTTTTAAAATAAATAATTTTACTTATTTCTAAGGGTAATTAGCACATAAAGCTCTCATTTTTCACTATTTTTGTAGAAAACATCATTACTTTTTATTTTTTTGGCATTATCACATTTTATTGTACAAAATGTCATTTTCATCGATTTTACCATTCTTTTTAAATAAAACAAAAAGGAAAAGGAAAAACTAACTGCAACAATAGTTCCAAATTTTTTTAAAAAGCGCAAATGAGTTCCAAATAAATTATTAAAAAGGTAATTAGCACATAATGTCTCAACTTTTATTATTATTGTGAAAAACGTCAATGTCTTTCATTTTTTTGGCACATTCACCGTTGATTACATATTTGATTGAGCAAACCATTATTTCTATTCATTTTCATTTAATTTCTTAAAATGCACGCTCCTATTNGCGGAGGCCAGCCGTACGGCCCCCGCCTATACATCGTTCGCCCCTCTCGACCTGCTAAAATTATTTAAAAGTATAAAATAAACTTATAATTGTAAAATTTACTTATAAGTAAAAAAAATATTAACTTAAAATGTTAAGTAAATATTTAACTTTATTTAATTTTTAAGTGAAATATTAACTTATATGTAAAAAAAATTACATATAAGTAAAATATCACTTATAAGAAAAAAATTCATGTAAGAAATTAAAAACTAAAATTTTTATTATAGGGACATATATATAATTTTATTCTTTTAAAAAACTTTCAGAATCAGTGAATAATAAAAACCACGACCAAAACCACTCCAAATTTACTCATAGAGGTTCAAAATCTATATTTTTTTTAGAAAAGCTCATAATCGATTCGTCGAAACTCCCAAACAGACCCTTAAATTAACTACACCACACCAACCTTGTGCACCCAATAAATACTCGATTAGATCCATTACATTCTCCCTCCACCTTCTCATTCCCACTCCATGTAAACCCAAAGCTTCACATTGCGATCCCAATGGGTTGCTGTGTTAGCACTACCACCAGCTCAGCCACTCCAAATTCTCCCATTTCCAAACCCATAAGTATCAGAAAATGCTCCAGGAAATCTCCACCATCCGCACAGCCATTGTTAGAAGAAGAAACAGTTAAAGAAGTCCTTTCTGAAACTCCCATCATTCCCAAACAACCATCACCCAGCATTAGAAAAACTCAAGAGAATCACCGAAAGGAAACTCAAACTGCATTTATAAAGGCTGATCTTTTAACATCAGATTTCTCCAAGGCCGTATATATGAAACAGCAAAACGAAACCGTTTTGAAGAAGCCTTATATGGTATTCAACAACGACGAGGTATCGGAAGAGGGTCTCATTGAGGGTGCAAGTTTTTCAACAGAATTTACAGAAAAGAGAGAGAACATTAATGATAGTGTTGAACATGTGAAAGAGGTCCGCCAGAAGTCAACGGAGAAGCTCAAGAACCGGTCGTTTTCTGGCGAAGTAAAGCAGGATAGAGCAGTGAAGAAATCTCCGTTGAGAATGCCCGAGTCATCACCAGTTCGAGTCGGATCGGGGAGGGAGAGTCAAGCGGTTTATGGGAGGAAAAAGGACAGTGGCGAAAGGTCTGGAAGAAGGTCAAGATCGCCGGTGCCAAGGACGGATAGTGGTTCGGCCAAAAGAGGTTTGGATCGGAGCCATTCGTCGAGAAGGATCGGGAAGTCTCCGGGTCGAGTCGGGTCTGGATTGAGCGACAGGCACCGAAAACTTTGGGAAGATAACAAAGACAGCAAGCTGCCACCGACAAGTAATGAATCGCTTGAAAACCCACTTGTGTCCTTGGAATGTTTTATCTTTCTTTAGTGCAATAATATGGTTGGGGCAGTAATTTTGTGCATGTTAAAGGTTATTTTTGGTAGCCAAGACAGCTTTGGAGGGAAAGGTTTCGATTTACATTGCTAAAATTACACCTTACCCCCTTCTCCAAAAATGTTATGCAAATTGGACTCATCAATATTTTGAATTCTTTAGCAAATTACATTAACATCATTGTCATTAATGTTTTGGATTCTTTGCATGATTAACACGTTGGATTCTTTGCACGATTAACATGTTGCAACAAAATTCTTAACGATTACGTCTCGTCTAGTTAGTTTTGATCTATTTGACCTTCATGGTGTGTACTATTCAGATTGGATTGTTTGAATGAACGAAAACTCCTTCAGTCCCTGTTTGGTGGGGATTATAATTAGATTTTTTTTACAAATTTTGATAAAAATTAATGAAATGTGTGGTTGGAAAGTTGTGGGACACATGAAACATATGGTTGAAATTAATTTTGATTTTAACTTAAATTAAAATTTTAATTTGCACCAGACAGGGGATCAGAATTCAGCAAAATATTCGACTCAACTAATTCGACAATTTGTTAATATATTCTTAATTGACACCACATCTATTTGCTGAAGAATTTTTTTTTCTAGCAACCCAACGCTTGTAACTATAAAAACATAGTACAACTAATTATTATAGTGTTGAAAACATGTTTGGTCCCCTAAACTTAGATGTGTTTATTTTGGTCATCGAACCTATTTTTTCAACGAAATTCTAACCCCAATAGCGATTATAGTCCATTCCATCACAGAGCTCGCACACAGCGTAGATGATGCTAAAAAATGTGCTTTTAAACTTAACCAAACTTGCAATGTATGGTTAAAAAGTAAAATCCTAATTGCATTTGCAATAAGCCAAGAAATTGGTTCTTCTAAGTTATATTGTGCTAACTAGGGCACTTAAAAGCATAGAATTCGACATTTAAATATTTAATGCTTGCTTGATTCTTATTATTCTTTATTCGATAAAGTGAATTAGACCATAGTGGGCGATATTATGAGAGAGAAAGAAATTAAGATCTTATTCATTGTACAGTTAAAGAAATTTCAGTATTGTTAAAAACAAACCCATTTTCAAGATTTTCAAGAAAAACGTGTTTTGTAACCCATTGAATTTAAGTCAATTTTTTTGGGAAATAAAATCCCAAAAAGCCAAGTTTTTTTTTTTTTTTTTCCATTACGTGTGAGTTCTATTCTAATTCAAATTAAATTATTTTGCTTAAGATTTCTATTCGAAATATGCAAGTTTCTTAAGTTTTCATATATGGACTTGAGCATAATGATGGATGATGGGATAAGAAAATGAAACTTTAGTGTCAATTATGTAACAAAATTAAAAGTTCGGTTACCAAAATGGAACACAATCATAAATTTAGAGCATGTTTAGTAGGACTTCTACTTATAAAATAGCTTACCTTATGTTAACTTTCTATATAAACTCTTCTAACTAGATAAAAAATATTCAAAAAATTATCTGAATATATTCAAAAATAATTTTTTTAGTCTCGGAAACAACTTTTGACTTTTCAAAGTTATTCAAAAATATTTTTAACACAAATTTTCTATATTTTATAAATGCCTTTAATGAATATCGACATGTTTGATATATTAGTTCGAACGTAAATAAAGAAAAAAATCACATAAAAATCGTACTTTTTCTTGGTTATGTTCGCCCAACAAATGCTTGTAGACTCGATTTAATTTCATGATTTGCCAAAGAATGGAAGTAGGTGTGCATTAGTTGTTGCACGTTACTCGTAATTAATATAGATGGAGACCAAAGTTTGGGAGAATTATTTTTTCCATCTAATTCTTGCATTTGATTGGATTGGATTGGATTGGATTGTTGTCAACTCGACAAAATATCTGGACTGATGGACATCATGGACTCTACCTACTCTTATTATTGCTGCTTAGTCAAGCCCCTACAAGTTGCAATGGAAACTTATCCCTTCTTTTGTAATCATTATTTCAAATTTTTTTTGAACCATGCTACAGGAATCGTCGGGATGACCGCACTGGTGACCGTACACACACATGGGGGTCGGGATTATTTTATTCGGGTGGGACCCTCGCCTCGGTTGTGAGGGGCGCGGCCATCCATGCGGGTCGTCTAGAATAATTCTATTTTTTTCTTATATTCATTTTCAACAACACATTCTCACAATAAAATATTCTTCACGTAAGTTCTTTTTTTCTATATTCTTCACGTAAGTTCTTTTTTTCTTACTTTTTAACTGTACATTCTCCAAAAATTTACTTTTCAAAAACTTGTCCTTAAAAAAGAGTCATGTTACTTGTACAAAGTTAAATTACAAAATTGGCTTACAAAATTCGTGTTGGCAATATTTTGACCAATAATTTGAAAAACAGTTTTTGAAATCAATGACATAGATCTTATCACATCATTTTGTCAACACGCTTTTACAAACGACATTTGTACAAGTAGCATAATGGCAGTCAAGGACTTACCTACATTTTATGGCTATTATAGGTATGGGTGGATGGGCAGACGTATCTTTTCTGCCATTTAAATCAAAAACATATTGATTTAGTTGCTGTTTGATTTATATAAAAATTAGATTTAGTAAATTTTGATAATAATTGATGAAATGCATGATTGAAAAAGTATAATTCTCATGAAATATGTTATTGAAATTTATTGTTAATTTTGATTTAGATTTAATCAGCTTTTTTTAGCCGAACCAAGCAAGAGCATGAACTTTAAGTCTTTAATATAATAAGACCGTGTTTGAGCCACATTATTTTTTTCATTCTCATTTTTCTACTTATTTTTAACCACATATTTTCAATAAAATAATGTTTTCCGTCACATTAATAATTTTTCCTTCTTTTTCAACCACATATTCCCCATCTCATCAAGAGTAAAAATGTATTCTTTTTCAAAAAATGTGCACCAAACGGGGGCTAATAATATCTTCAAGGGACTAAAAAAATTCTCTTATGTATTATGGATAATATCTATAAATTTAGAGAGTCATTTTATGCACTCTATTTTTGACTCTTCTCAATAAATATTTATCGACTTCTTCTTATATTTTATTTAAAATAATTTTGTGTATGTCAATTTAAATATGTATTGAATAATTTAATAAGTAGAGTATAAAAATCCGTGATGTATTAATGCAATCATTGTAATAAAGAGTGAGTTTGAAGAGCCAATATACACACACTAGGTGCAAGCAACGTGCAATGCACGTTTGCTTAGTTTATATTTAATAGTTTTGTTTAAGAATTAATTTGTTATCAATGAAAATGTAATTTTTTTTGGTTAATTAAGGGCGTGTCTGGGTACGCTGGAAGGAAGAAGGAAAATTGATTATGGTTTGACCTTTGGATGAAGGGGGTAAGAGAAATTGAATGTACCTATTTTTTTTTTT